GGTTTCAGATGTACAGCATGGTGGTTTGACGGTCATATACTTTACAAAGTGTTCCCCCTCATATTTCCAGTACCCACTTTATTTTTTACTTAGTATAATAATTTTCATCTTTCAGTCCAGTTACATTTAATATATTACTGGAATATTTGGATTTTCATTTGACATCTTACATTTTGCTTTTTATATGTTCTACTTTTTTGTGATTGTGCCTTCCTTCTTTTTGGGTTTATTTGGGTATTTTAATTCTATTTTTACTTTCTATTAGCATAGCAGTTATGTACACTTATACTATTTTTAAATGTTATCCTAGATATCAAAACATGTATTTTCTTTCTTTTTTGAAATATGGAAGTTTTTTTAATACGTAACACGATCATAAGGCACAAAATTCAAAATATACAAAAGGTTATATGATAGAAAATCCTTTCTCATATCTGCCCATAAGCCACCCAGTTCTCCAGATGACTCAAATATGAATCCACCAGTACAGTCATCTGGCCTCTTTACCGGCCCCCCAAATGTACTGTATTTATTGCTCTCTAAGATGAAAGTCTTGGTTTATATCTTCTTGCTTATTCACCTTTTCCTTCAAAGCTCAGCTAAAGTCTCTTTCTCTTTCATAAAGTTTTCCCAAACAAATCTTATCCTAACTGATCTTACCAACTTCTGGTGATAATTGCAGTTTATTCACTCATTTTAGCATTTGTGTTATTTTGTGCTGCTTTCTTTAAGTTTGAAGTATGTAAATCTTACTTGCAACACTAGATTGTGAGTTCTTTGAGGGCAGGATAACATGCCTTATTTGGTCTATAGAATGCTGAGCACATAAGCAGATGGTCCCCAAATACTTGTTGAATTAAATTGCTTCTTTAGTAATGGCTGTCAGAAGCTAGTTTTCCAGGAAGATTTCAGTTTTGGTGCATCTTGATTCTCCATTGTTCCTGGTAGATAATAGTTTTTAGAGTTGCTTTTGAATGCAAAATTACAGGTGCAGGATTGGAAGCCACTTGAAAAAGTGTTTTTAAATTATTGTTTTTTATGAACTTGTTTTACATTTCATGTTACTTTAAGATTAGAATTAATGGAATATCCACTTCTAATTCCATATCATAGTGTAAAAATCTTCATTGCTACTTGTGACATGTGCCACTTTCTTTTAAGTATTGACAAGTTAATATTCTTTTTTTCCGAAAGTATCTTTTTTGATTAAAAATTTTCTTGATCACATTTTTGAAAATGTGATCAGGAGTTAGAAAGTATTGAAAAGTTAGGAAGTATTAAAAACTATTGGAAAAAATTGCCCTATTTTTTACCAGTGAAAGATAAATGTTAACATTCTATGTATACTCTTTTTTTTCCTGTGTATATGTAATAGATAAGTTCTCCCCTCTAAGTTTCTCACTTTTTAATTATTGATGTTTGCTTTTCAGCTTTTCCTAAAAGGATTCCTGTATTTGTTAGAAGTGCTTGAGGAAGAGTGATAAAGGCAAGTATCCAACACTTTATAGTCAATGAAATAACTTAGTTCATAGCCAAACAAGAAAGCTTTGGTTACCATATCTATCAAAAAGACAAAAAAAATTGGAAAGAAAAACTTAAAGAAAAAAAAAGAAAAAGGTTTTCTATATATTTTAGTATGGTTTTTAGAACACCCTCAAACATTTCACAGATTTTAAAAACATAATTTTTAACTTTTCTGATATTAATTTAGAACAACTAGTTTCTTGAATATGAACTTACGGCATATTGTATCTTTGGCAATACTCTTGTAGAAAAATTGTTTAAAATTCTGAGAATGTAACAAAGTTCATTGCAACTGCCTGGTCTGTTAGTGGCTTTTTCTCCTCTTTCCCACTTTTCACTCCTTCCCCCTCCCCTCTTTCAGCCATGTCCTTCTGTTCCTTTTTCTTTCCCCACTTCCTCTGGTTTACTCATAAGAACTCTACTTTCAGCAAAGTTGAGTAAATAAAAGAGAAGCTGACATTTCCTTCTTACAAAAGCACACTTACTTTGCAGTTGAACTTGTGTTAAAACCAGGGGTCTCAATATTTTGGGAATTTTATAAACTGAGCAAGAGTTATTATTTGTTTGAATTTTAAAGAAAAAAATAAGGGACTCCTAAAAAACTTTGCCAGTGTTGAATTTCTTTAGTGCTTACGTTTTCACTGTCAGCAGTTTTATAGAGTAAATTATTACAACATTACTGTCTTTGGTATTTTTGGCACAGCATTTGATCTTCCATAAAATTTGGCTTGTCTTGAAAGGTGGCCTTAAAGATTTTCTGTTGGCCTACAGAAAATTTTAGCAAGTGTCAAAATTTTGACCATATTTCATGTTTATGTCGATATCACAGCAATAATGCAGATGATAGCTGCACGTGTAAGTACCAGATTATATTTTATTATCAATGCAGTAGGTTGTTTTTCAAAATTCTTATCTTACCACTTGATGTTTCAAGCTCAACCTGGGGTGCCCTGTTAGGTAAGCCTCTGCTGGTTAGTATGGTTATGTCTTGCCTTTAGAAATCTCAGAATTCATTACTGTTCTACTACGTAATCGTTGCATTTGTGTGGATAGCCTGTGCAAGCTTTGGCTTGGAGATTGACATCCTAGTTCTAGGTTTTTCTGGAATGCTGGCATATCCTTGTAATCAATCAAAACTTCGAATTATATGAAAATAAATGATGTCCAAATGCTAGTGAAATCTCAAATGAAGCTATTGACATATAAAATGTACCATATTTTTCATGAAATAAAATGAGAAGCAGGTGGCCACTTGATTAATTTATAACACTGCCCAAAGAAGTAAGTTTGCTGAGTAATAAATTCCTTATACCTTTATATATGAGACAAGTAGGTTTTCCAATTAACCTTGACATTGTTTCTTTATTCATATTTTTTACTCTCATGGGAGATATTTACTTTATATATTTTACTTTGAAAAACAAAAAAGATCATATTATTAAGGTAATGAAATACAAATAAGGAAAAAAGTAAATTACTTCCTCATTATCAGCCTGCTGCTTTTACATCCTCCCTTCTTCTTAGGGTCTAAATAGCCCAGTGCAAGAAGATTTATTGATGTTCAGTGTTACTGGATTATTTTGGTAAATTTTCCCCGAGGAGCTTAATGTTTTACATAGTGGAAATAATTCAATAACTATCCATCTGTCCTACAAATTCATGAGGAAAGATGAAGATAATTAAATACATACACTATAGCAACATTTTTGTCCACAAGAAGCCCCGGAGAAATCCAGTGAAGCCCGACAGTCTTTAGTCTAATAAGGATTAAGGGTTTCTTTCTTGGTTTTCCCGAAGAATAAAGGAAAAACAAGCAGTATACAGTACAGTCGGGGAAGGGGTATGATGGGGTTTTAATGTGGCCATAAAGAATTTGAATGAAAAGTAGTGAAATTTCCCATTCTCATGGCTGCTACTCATTTACCTCATTTTGGAGCAAAGAATTTTGTGGTGTTTAGAAAGAGGAAGATACTAGTGAGAGATGTTATCTTTTACTTTGTCACATTATTTATGCTTCTGAGTCACAAAGAGGTTAGGAGATGGGGAAATAGGCATGTAAGGGTATGGACAGCAGAGCCACAGTGACAGTGCCCATATACATGGTCAGAAGGTCTTCTGAGAGTAGTTACCAGGAAGAAAGCTCTAGTGAGTTTGCATTCCTGTCCCTCTGAACTCAAGTAGTCTTGAGTCCATTGGGAACTCGTATATCAGGTAATTTATGCCTTCTAGATTATCATTTTGGCAAGGAGACCTCATTTCCCCAGATCATAACCACCATAGTGCTTTATTGATAGTGACTTAGATTGTTCAAAGCACTTGGTAGTGTAGGGAGTTTTAAAGCCCTTTGGGCCAAAAAAATTGAGGGAAAATATAGACATAAATAAATTTTTCCTATACCGTATTTTGTCCTCTCTAGCAGGTTCTATGCATTAATGCAATTTTTTTATATTTGCAGAAACTCCATATAAAAATAAACATTTTCTATTATGAAAAACCTCATGCCTACCATCTCCCCGCCTCTCTTTTTGCATGTGATTTCCGTAACCATGACGATTATGCTGACCTTACATTTCTAGGTTTCAGCTTTCTTTTAATTTCCTGCATTTAATATTGGTGTGTGGTTGCTATCTGACCTTTCTTTTCCTCTACTCTTTCATTAAACCGTGTTTACTGTGTTACTTCTTTACTTTTGAATTTTTGTGGATATATGGGAAGTTTCTGTCAGGAATGATACTATTCAGAGAAAGGGAATTCTTAGAAATATCTTTGCTTGATAGCTGGTACCGAGCAAAGTCTCTGAAGACGGATGGGATCATTCACTCATGTGGTACCAAAAAGTCATTTGTGCTTCAACAGATAATTCAACTTACAAGATTTTACTTCCTTTTTCTTACTGAAAGAGCAAACCTGTCACCCATAGTTACCAATAATCTTGAGGAATATGAATAGTAACAAGAAATTCCTTTTTCATAAAATCCACAAACATTTAATTTAGGATATCTACTTATTATTACTGTTTGAATTTACTGAGTTCCATCATATGGATAATTAACTGTGGTTATGAATGAGAGGAATTAAATTGCCTCAGCAAAACTATATGTATTGAATTTTCTGATCTCTCTCGATTTCCCAAGCAATGACTATTTGTCAACTATTTTGGGGGGTTTCCATTGTTCCGATATTTGGTTCTTCATACGTTGAAACTTGTAGGGATTTTTTTTTTTTAAACATGGCTGTTTTCATTTCCCATGTACTTGTTTTGGAGTTTTTTTCTCCTGTTCTAGGAAATAATCATTATCCACTATCTAGAAAACTGTTCTTTAATCCTCTGATTAAAGATTGCTTAATGATAGTGACTATTTGTTTGGCTAGTGGCATGTTTTTCTTTGTTTTTACACTGGAGTTTCTGCATGGATTTATAATCTGAGGTTTTTTTTGTTTTTTTGTTTTTGTTTTTGTTTTTTAACATTAGATAGGCATGAAGCCTCCGTCTCACAGCCGCATGTGTAGTTACTATTGAAGCAAATGTCTACCTAATTTGACAGTCTTGGTGTGTTTAAAATTTTTTGAGTTTGCAAATAAGCTTATTAAGTCTACTGATGGAGCCTTCGGGCAGTGAACAATTTTATGAGGACCCTGATCCTGAAGGCAAATCCCAAGATGCAGAGGCCAGAAAGCAGACAGAATCAGAACAAAAGTTGTCTAAAATGACCCACAATGCTTTGGAGAACATTAATGTGATTGGCCAAGGCTTGAAGCATCTCTTCCAGCACCAGCGCAGGAGGTCATCAGTGTCTCCACACGATGTGCAACAAATTCAGGCAGATCCAGAACCTGAAATGGATCTGGAAAGCCAGAACGCATGTGCTGAGATTGATGGTGTCCCCACCCACCCCACAGCTCTGAATCGTGTCCTGCAGCAGATCCGAGTGCCACCCAAGATGAAGAGAGGGACGAGCTTGCATAGTAGGCGGGGCAAGCCAGAGGCCCCAAAGGGAAGTCCCCAAATCAACAGGAAATCTGGCCAGGAGATGGCACCTGTTATGCAGTCTGGCCGACCCAGGTCTTCATCTACTACTGATGCTCCGACCAGCTCTGCTGTCATGGAAATAGCTTGTGCTGCTGCTGCTGCTGCTGCATGTCTGCCAGGGGATGAGGCACCTCCAGAGCGGGTAAGTCTGTTAGAGTTTCTTTTCCTGTTAACGTACTGTTCTTTGTTTCTAGGATTCTTCAGTTTTTTTCTTTGGTAACTAAAAAGAGAGATCTCTGCAAGAGATATCTCAAAGTTGTGGTAAAATATAGTTTCCATTTTTGTTAAATAAAGGGGATGAATAATTATGGCAGCTAATATAATTATATTTCTATTTGCTTCCTAATATATTACTATCTTTTATTTTACCCCTTTGCTAAAACCTTCAACATTCTTTATGTGCTCTTTATGTCTTAAACTCTCAGTTTTATCAGAGGAACAAAGCGCTTTGTTTACTGTTGTTTTGGTTTTACACATGAATTGGCTTTCTTACCTTAATGAAGGTGATGGCTCAAGTTCTAGAATCTGGGTGTGTCTGCCTAGTGTGGAAATATAAATTGCTTATAATTTTCATATACACTGTACCATTCAATATACATTTTGCTTTCTGCAATAGAGTATATATCCATTCTTTTAATTTACTTCTAATAAACAGTTATTGTGGGGTTTGCCTTGATAGGAGAACTAGGCATAACAAATTTAGGGAGAACTCTTTCCATATAACTCTCACCTCTCAGTTATAGTTAGTTAAAGCACAAAGAAGAAATAGTTCTGTTAGGGTTTGAAAGCTCAGGTACATATAGCCAGGCAGGAAGTGAAAACAAATAAACTCAGGTGTAATGGGGCTTGGAGAAACAGAAGAGTCCGTGCTTTGTCTAAAGGGACAGTGTCTTCTTAGCTTTAGCTGATTGTTGTAATTTAGGATTGTGAATCCAGTCTAGCCAGGGCTTCTAATTTTTCAAGAGAAACTTGAAAGCTTAGGTGAGTAACCTCTTTGATTTTTAATATATTACGTTATACAGGTCACACAGAACACATTTGTGGGCCAGGTCTGCCCTGTAAGTCACCACCTTGCTATCTTTTGGCTTTATTTTATGTATTCCTTGAGGTTTGTATGCTAGTCAGTCACTTTCGTTCTATGTCAGTTCTGTCACAGGTAAGTTATTTCATTGGAATTTTAGCCCGGAAATTTAATCTAGTATTGAATCTAGTATTGAACCTGGGTATTGAATCTAGTTTTAAACTTCTACTACCTAATTGTGACATTAAAAATAAACAGGTAATGGACAGTAAATGACTTTAAGAAATTAAACCTGTCAGAGTAACAGATTCACTAGAATAACAGAATCATCAGATTAATGATTCACATAATTAAAATTTAAAAGTATAAATAAGGAAAAGTAGCATGTATTTATGTGTGTAATGGGAATCTTTGAAATAAAAAGGACATTTGATCATGGATTGCATAATCTAGTTGGCAATAAAAACTAACAATGCAACTATATTATTTGCTTAATCCTTACCAGAGAACATTAATTCTGGGATTATAAACTTTTATGTTAAAAAATATAAGTAAAGTATATTTTATGCACTTACATATTGTTTGTTTTAGAAAATTTTATAGAAAGAGAGCCAAAGGTGAACACTTTTTCCTAAAATTGTTTCTTTAATGCTGTTTGTCAACTTTACTGACATACAGTAAAACTCAACAATTTTAAATGTGTGATTTGATTAGTTTTGAAAAATGTATAGTCATGTAAAACAATCATGATATAGAACATTATCATACCCCAGAATTATTTCTCATGCCCCTTTTTGCAGTCAGTCCTCTTTTCCAACCCTTAGCCTTTGGCAGCCGCTTACTGGCTTTCCTATCAATATTGTTTTGCCTTTTCTAGAACTTAATATAAATGGGATCGCACAGTATAGTCATTTCTGTTTTCACCCATATTGTTGCACTATTCCTTTTTTATTGCTGAGTAGTATTCCATTGTGTATCTATTTGTTTATCCATTCACCAGTTGGTGGTGGTTTGGATTATTTTTGTTTTCTGGCTATTATAAATTAAGCTGCTATGAAATTTTGTATATAGGTCTTATAGACATTTTCATTTCTTTGAGTTATATGGTAAATGTATCTACTGTTTTTACCCACAACACTTCTGACACCAAATGTGTAGGGGTTTTTTACACCAGCATCCAGTTGTGACACCAACTTGGTGTCCCATAATTCAGTTCTGACAGTAACTACCTGGAGTTAACACAGACCCCACAGGTTAAGGACTCAGTCCCACAAGACTGCTTCCACTTCAGGCATCAGTCACAAGTCCCACGTTGCCACCTGTACCTCTGACCAACAGTTATGTATCAGGTGTTTTCATGACTTCCTCCTCAGGTTGGTAATTTGCTAGAATGGCTCACAGAACCCAGGAAGACACTTTACTTCTTTTACAGGTTTATTATAAAGGATGCAACTCAGGAATAGTTAAAAGGAAGAGGACAAAGAGTAGGGAAGGGAGGAGGTTGGTGGTGCAGAGGTTCTGTGTCCTCTGGGCACATGCGTTCACTAACCTGGAAACTCTCCAAACCCTGCCATTTAGGAGTTTTATGTGGCAGCCTCATTACATAGGCCTGGTTGATTAAATCATTGCCCATTGGTGATTAGCTTAGATTTCCAAATCTCCTGTCCCAGAAGTTGGGAGTAGGGATGACCATCCCTCTAATCATGCCTTGGTCTTTCTGGCTACTAGTACCCATGTGAAGTCATCTCACTAGCATATAGAAGTTACTCTTACATTTACATTCTGCAGATTCCAAGGATTTTAGGAGCCCCGTCAGTACATGTTTAACTTGTAAAGTGACTACACCATGTTGCATTGCTACCAGCAGTGTATGAAAATTTCAGTTTTTTCATCCTTATCAGTATTTGGTAGTGCCATTATTTTTAAACTTAGCCATTCTAATGCGTGTGTAGTGATGTTGCTTTGGGGTTTTATATTTGCGTTTCTCTAATGACATGGAAAGATTATGGGCAGCATTTTTAAATGTAGTTTATAAAGATTGGCTAGTGATTTAAAAGAGATTATTTCTAAGAATTGATGTGAATTTTTCTTAGATGTTTAAATTATCTGACAGAGATCTTCTGAATTAGAGTAATCATTTATGTAAAGTTTGCTGTTTGTTTAATTACATTAAATCTGAAGAACCTACTTCGTAGAGTTTTATTGATTTTTATTTATAATTATCAGTCTGGGAAATAAAGCTCACGTTATTCATGTGTAAGAATCAGAGTGTAGTATAGCATCAATTCTGATTTATAAAATTTGACAAGTCTAGGTATAGAAGGCACTATGTTTTGGTTTGCTTCTTGGAAACATTTAGATGATATTCTCTTTGTTAGGTTAGGTTCATTGCTAGAACCTAAGTACTATACTTACCTTCTTAGCCAACATAATTTGATACCAAATAGTTTCAGTTAATCAAAAAGTCAAAGTTTTCATTATAAAAAAAAACTATCAAAAAGTCAAACAATATATACTTTGAATATTTTATCTGACTTTAAAGTAAGGTTTTTCATTTTTAATATGCTAATTGAACTTCTGTACCTTTCTTGTACTCATTGCATGGACTTCAGTTTCTAGTTTTAATTTTTATAAAGTGGAGTGATAACCTAATGACACTTATGAAGCAATATGGGGTAGGATCTTAGATTTTTAATAATCTCTTAAAATGCCTAACTCACCTTAAGTTAATTGTTCTTAAAAGTAACATGCCTTTATCGAGTCTTTTCAAACTACTTAACTTAGTTTTCATAGATATAGTAGCCCGGTTTGTACTTGATCTGATTGGTTTATATAGTATTTTATTTATTTAAACTTTCAGTAATATTTAGTAATATTCATTATAATGAATATTACTAAAAAACTGATGTGGGAGCAAGATGTATGTGGAAGCACTAGCTGTGAACATTAATTGTCCTATGGACATGAAGTCCACATGTCTTTCAGAGCAAATGGAGAGTGTAAGAATAATGTGGCAAGTCGGTTAAGTGAAGATTAGAGAGCATCTACTCTGCTGTATCTTAGTATGTGAGATTGTTTCGAATTCTAAATATTGACTCTTCTATTTTAGTATTTTTCCTTTAACTCAAAAGGCTGAGGATGAAAATGTTTTAATGCTGGTAATAAACATTTAAGAATACTGCTATTTCTATACCATTTGGTTAATAGCATTTTACACACTTGTCTGTGTTTGTGCCCTTGTACACACAAAACCCTAAGACTAATGTTCAGTTGATTTTTTCCAATGTATCCTCTGTGTTTGAAAGCTACCTGCTTCTGCCTCTGCCACATAACCAGTCTATTTTTTAGAGTAAATTCTTGGCCCTTAAGTTAGATCCCTTTTTTAAAAATTACAGATTTGGCAAATATTTATTTGTGCCTAATATGTGCAAAGCATGGCTTTGACCTAATGATAGAAAGGGACCTAGTTGAACACAAAGGTTCTGCATTTCCTTCCTTTTCAGGTTTACTAATGTCAAGTTTTTTCCCCACAGAAAAATCTTGTTGATACATCCAGTCTGCTGCAGTACTTGTATTAAAATGTTTTCATTTCTTACAGTAAACATTCATATATGTACTTAATAAATAGATGTCATATATATCTGAGGCCAAATTACATCATTTAAAGGATCATATTATTTTTACACAGATTTTATTTATTTATTTTTAGAGAGGGAAAGGGAGGGAGAAAGAAAGGGAAACATCAATATGTGGTTGCCTCTCACATGCTCACTTCTGGGGATTTGGCCTGCAACCCAGGCATGTGCCCTGAGTAGGAATTGAACCGGCAACCCTTTGGTTTGCACACTGGCACTCAGTCCACTGAGCCATGCCAGCCAGGGCTAAAGGATCATCGTTAAATTCACAAAGGCAGATTTTTTTTCTATAAATACTTTTCTATACGAAAGTTAAAAAGTTAAATGTTTTGAATTTGAAAGAAGTATGCTCAGTGCAGAAAACTTTGAAAATACAGAAAAGTAAAAGAAGAAAAAAATAAAAATAATTACTGCCAATATTTTGGTGTGTTTTTCATTCGATATATTACTTATATATGAAAATATGTAGAAGGAAATTTAAAGTTA